CCGATAAGAGCTCGAGCCTGTTTCTAGTTCGCTCGCGCGAGGAGGCCCGTGGGAGCCCCTTGACGAAACGTGCCCTGGGAGACCCTGGGTCAAAAATGTGTTTTTCTTCTGGACGTGGCCTTCGGTGCTCCCATGGACGCTTTAAGTCAGCAGGGCGCTCCAGGAATTCGCCCACAAGGATGCCAAGAAGGTCCAACTGCGCTCCGCGACGGCTGAACTTGGCCTCAGGAAGGCTTCAGGGGGCCCCAAGACAACCCAATATCGCCCCAAGACGGCACAATATCGCCTCAAGCAGTCCAAAAGGCCCCCAAAAGGGCTCCAAGAGGACACCTGACACCTGACGAGGTCTGTGTAGAAATCGCCACCGTCATGCGAATGACTACTCCTGAACATCCTACTGTGTCCTGATTGCCATCTGCATTGCAATCTACATCATTACACAATCATGAGAGGTTCCTGGACGGTCCAATCCAGATGGCAGCCAGTAGCCTTGATATGGCTTCAAGACAGCCCAAAGAGGCCGCCAAGATGGTCCAAGAGGCCTCACAAGATTATCAAAAAGGGCACCACAAGACAGCCCAAGAGGACCCCAAGAGAGCCCCAAGGCGGCCGCGATAGACCCCCAAGGCGGCCTCCGAATAGGCCATACGGCGCAAGAGCGCCCCAAGGCGCACCCAAGAGGCCCTCGAAGGCACCAAAGAGACCCCCAAGAGGCCCCAAAGAGGCCCCCAAGAGGCCAGGAAAGACCACGAAGAGGCCCGCGTAATTGTATACGAATGGCGCGTTGTTGCTGTGCTCATCGGAATTTCAACTTTGGCGGTGCCTTGTGCTGACACGCGGTGAATGCTCATTGCCCGCGTAGACACGTGACGCTGGCAGCGCCCAAGGGCAGGCAGAACGACACAGCAGACCCGGCTCGGCAGACCGAGCGCGGCATTCTTATGTGCTCCGGACGTGCACCCCGCGAAGCGAGGAGGACTCCACGTCTGGAAGGCACGTGTTGCCTGAGGCAGGCCCGCGGATATTGCAACGCAGCGTGTCCAATGCATCCATTTATTGCGTAATGCTAAATGCTGTGCTATGTTATCGCATCCTGTCCTGATATCATGTCTCCCCCTAACCCGCCCCCTGGAGTCGCACCACATCCGCCGACAACTCCCAACTCAGCCATTCTGGGCCTGAAGCCCGTAGGAAACAGCCTCCAAGATGGCCCTAAGACGATCTTGAAGGGACCCACGATGTCCCACAGATGCCCCCAAGACGACCCAAGAGCCTCACAGAACAGCCCAAGAGGACACCAATAGAGCCACAAGACGGCCCCGAAAGGCCCCCAAGACGGCCTCCGAAGTGGCCAGACGACGCAAGAGCGCCAACAAAAACGCCCCCAAGAGGCCCCGAAAGACCCCCAAAGAGACCCGAAAGAGGCCCCCACGAAGCTTTCAACAAAAACCCAAGAGGTTCCTAGGAGGCCCCCAAGAAACCACCAACACACCTGCGGATTGTGCGCGAATGGCGCGTTGTTGCTGTGCTCATCGGAATTTGAACTTGGCGTTGCCTTCGTCCTGGCGCTGAAACGGGGGAGGGCGCATCCGCGGCGGATGCGCTGAAACGGCGGATGATCCGCCTCCAGTGGCGCTGACAACGCCCTGGGGCGGGCAGAACGACACGGCAGACAAGCAGGGCAAACCACCGAACGCTCAGTCTTTACCTGCTCCGGACGTGCACCCCGCGAAGAGAGCGGATGCACGTCCGGAAGTAACGTGTTGCCAGAGGCAGGTCCGCGGATGCTGCAATGCAACGTATCCAATTATTCCAACGATTGTACCATTTCAATGGGCCCCACTATCCGCCACCGTGCCTCTGGGCTCGAAGTGGGCGTGTCCTCCGGTCCCTTGCCTAATCCTCCCATGTGGAGCCTTTTAGGGGCCTGGACCCCAAATTCACAAATTTTCTGGGTCTTGTCGCGGACCCCGCGGCTTGTCGCATGACTCTTGATGGCCGAAGAAAGCTCCAAGACGGAGCTCCGAGAGGCCCCCTAAGACGGAGCTCCGAGAGGCCCCCAAGATGGTCCAAGAGTGAGTGCGCCGAGTCCCCGAAAGATCGCACCAAGACGCCAAAGACAGCCCCGAGACGGTCCAAGAGGCCTCCAAGACACCCCCAGAGGCCTCCACGAGGCCTCCCAAGAGGACCCCAAGAGGCCGAAACAATTGGTTCTCCTTCGGTTTTTGAAAGATGTTCCAAGACGGCCCAAGAAGCTCCCCAAATCGCCCCAAGACGGCCCCAGAGGCCCACAAGAGGAACCCAAGAGGGACCCAAGAGGGCCCCCAGACGGCCCAAGAGCCACCCAATACAGTCTGAGAGGGCCCAAAGACTTTGGGGGGCCCAGATGGGGAACCCGAGCCGACAATTCGAGCCCTCAGCCCCGAGAGGCCCGCAGGAGGCCCCAACAGGCCCAGAAGGTGCCCCCAAGAGGCCCCAAGATGCCCGAAAGAGGCCCCAAAGAGACCGCAGCAGGCCCCGAAGAGGCGCCAAGAGGCCCCTAAACTGCTCCCAAGAGGCCCCCGAGAGCGCTCCGAAGAAACAACCCTGAGAACTCTGACCCATTAGATTACAGCATTTCTACATCGACCCCCCCACGGGATTCACGACACATCCGTGAACCAAAGGTGCCCCCCCCCCCCCCTATGGGCTCCAGAAACCCACCAAAAATTAAAGGCATCAATGATTTGGGCCTCCTGGGGGCCCAAGAGAGCTCCAAATCGGCTCAAGATGGCCTCAAGATGGCCCAATATGGCCCCAAGACGGCCCAAGACGGCCTAAGACGGCCTAAGATAGCCCCAAAACGGTCTGAAAGGTCACCAAGACGGCCCAAGATGGTCCCAAGAAGACCCCAAACAATCATGTTTCATAGGTGTTTGAACGATTTAAGAGTTCTCGTCTTTTTCAGCTCTCGAACGCCCATCACGACCCAACAAGCAGCCCCAAAGATGGTCCCCAGACCGGCCCAGAAGCCTCCAAGAGGCTCACGAGACGGCCCAAGCGGGCCCCAAGATTGCCCAAAGAGGCCGCCAAGACTGCCAAAAAGGGCCCAAAGAGGGCCCAAGAGTATTCCAAGAGAGCCCCAAGGCGGTGGCGAGAGGCCCCCCAGACGGCCTCCGAAGGGGCCAGACGGCACAAGAGCGCCCGAAGACGACCCAAGCCGCCCCCAAATGGCGCCAAGAGGCCCCGAAGAAACCTCTAAGAGGCCCCCAGAGGCCCCAAAGGAGCCCCCAAGAGGCCCCCAAGAGCCTCCCAAGAGGCCCCAAGAAACCACCAAGAGGCCCGCGTAACTGTATACGAATGGCGCGCTGTTGCTATGCTTGTGTTGCTTCGCGTTGCCTCGTCTTGCCACGTGGTGAATGCTCAGTGCCTCCGTGCGTGGACATTCGCACGCTCGTCCTGGCGCTGGAACGGGGAGGGCGCATCCGCCCCCGTGGCGCTGACAACGCCCCAGGGCGGGCAGAACGACACAACAGACCAGCGCGGCTGACGAGCAGGGAGCAGGACAAACCACCCAACGCCCAATCTTTCTGTGCTCCAGCCGTGCACCACGCGAAGCGAGAGGAAGTATCAGTGAAACATTGAGCCGTGCCATCAACACCACGTGTGACGTTTGGACGGGCTAACGGGACGAAGATGTTCTCGCGCGCCTGCGTTCGGTCACAGGCGAAGCAGAGAGCGGCGGGTTTGCCTGAGCTCTCTGACGCGGAACAGGGCGAGCGAGCGAGGGAGGGAGGGGGGCGGGAGGCAATGAGGGGGAGAGCCGAGGAGAGACCAGGGGCAAATGGATCGCGAGCCCTACGTAGGCACCGGCACTGATGACAAACATCCATCCCTACGGCGTCGGCTTCGGTTCACACTCGATCTGTAAGTGCGCTTCGAGCACAAGGCAGGGAACTCGAGCTGGCCATTCCAATGCACGGGCACCTCCAACTATATTCGATATGACATGGTTGTCTCGGTTCTGCACAGTAGTTCTGCATAGCGGAGCCGTCGCGAGAAACTCGCAACATAGATCTGCATGTGATACCACGCGGTGGAGAGGGGAGGATGTGGGGACGGGGCGAGGGGGGGAGCACTCGAGCGCATCGATGCCACCGCCTCGCAGCCACAGCTGGCCTGGCGCAGCCCCGAGCGGCTAGTATGTTGGCCGCTGGCTGCCGTGAGGCCGCACTCGAACTGTAGCTGCCCAGTAGCTTCACAACCAAGTCGTCTTCAACCACCTCTATGATTGAGCGTGAGGAGGTGGCGGTTGCCGCCTTGCCTCCCTCAACGAAGAGGGGCGGAAGGAATGCATGTATTACCGTGTACTACTCATGCCTGCGACTAGTCCGACTATGGGAAAGAGGGGCTTCGATCCCCGACAACAGCATCACTTCACATTGCACTGGGTGAAACAGCCCTCAAATCCATTTGTTCTGGCACTCCTCTCAACGTATGGCCCGGAATAGCAAGCTGCATGCTCCCAATCAGACCCTACGCAGCCCTGCTCGTACCGGGCCTGTGCGCTTGTAGCCCACGCAGACTCGAACGCACTATGCTTCCTCCTCCCCCTCGTCCACCGCCGCCTCCTCCCACCATTTCTTCCTCAAGCGCTGATGTGAGTGCTGTCGTCTTGCTCGTAAGTCCCCCCTCCACTGCCCTGGAAGGAGTGCGAGTGAGGCTCTATATTCGGGGCTCTCTCGTCGCCTTGCATGTGCTCCCAAGTGTTCCCTCCGCAACTTCTCGTCCCCCCTCTCCTCACATGTATGACGTGCGAACGAGCAGGAGCACCCACGCCGTGAGCAGGGCTCTAGCCCTCGGAGCGCGTCGAAGGGAAGCCCTTCACTGGGGAGGAGGCCTTGGGGCGCTGCGCGTGGGGCGGGGGAAGGATCTGGCCAAAGAACCACGCGGGCGGGAAGCGGGCCTCGAAGAACATCCCCCCCTGCTCTTTCGCGGCGCCCTCCAGGCCCCACTCGGCGATGTGGGCGGGCGGCAGCGTCGCCTCGAGGACCGGCAGGATGTCGAAGCGGTGCTGCTGGACCTCCTGCAGGGCGGCCTGCAGCTCCACCCTGGCCGCCCTCTGGAGGTCGCGGAGGGCAGAGGACCTCTCCACGTCCTTTTCCGGCACGGGCTTGCCGGTCACGGCCGCCACGTGCCAAGGGCTGTCCTTCATGCTCTTGGCGTACAGGGGCACTGACGCGAACGCGGCCCCTGTCTGCTTCCCGAGGGGCATCGCGTGGATGACCCAGTCGAGGCTAATTTTCACGCCGTTGAACACCGCGGACCACTCTCTCGAGAGCATCGTGCTGCTCTCAGTGGCGTGGTGGTCTATGAGCCGGTGGCCTTTCCTGCGCGACGCCTCCCCGTCGAAGCAATACACGCTGAAGGGCAACAGATCGTCCGCCAGCAACTTCACGCCCGCCTCCCGCATGCGCCGCAGGACCGGCAGCAGCGTCTTCGTCAGGCGCTGCGAGAGCGAGCCCTGCTCGCCGAACAGCCTGTTAAAATGCAGGTCCTGGGTGTACTCGGTCAGCTCGAAGACGATCCGCCCGGGCGCGCGGCGGCTGGCGTCGAGCACCAGGCCCTGGACCTCTGGAAGCAGCCACTCGGACGGCCGCACGTTCACGCTGATCGGCGGCAGGCTCGGGAAGGTCTCCAGGGCGTCCACGACCGCCTGCCAGGTGCAGACGACAGAGGCCCCCTTGCCTGAGAGGTGCCTCCCGGGCTGCCCACGGAGAGGCCCCGGAGGCCCCGCAGGCCCCGCAGGGCACAAGTCGAGGCCCCGGAGAGGACCGAGGGCGCACGGGGCCGCAGGATCGCCCCGTAGCCAGGGGGCGGGGGGGGGGGGGGCGGCACCTCTTCGGGCCCAGTGGGGTTGGGGTCGGGGATCTACCGTCCTGGTCAATCCAAACCAGGGTCCATCAGGCCTTGCAGGATAGCGCAAGAGCCTGCAGGATCCTGCACGCCAACCCAGGTCGGTGCAGGATCCTGCAAGATCCGTCGCTCTGACTGGCCCCCGTTTGCATTGACCCCCGTCTCAAGGACCCCGATGGGTGGCTCTTCTGTCAGCACCAGGCGCCTGGACCTCCAGCCCCTTGAACTGCAGGTAGAGGTCGATGTCGGTGTCGAGCAGGTTATCGAGCACGTCCACCACGAGGCCGACGCCCCAGGAGGCCGTGTGCAGCGCCAGGAGGCTCTCCAGGCCCACGAGCCTCGACTGCCCCTTGTCCTCGCGCACCTCCCACATCGGCTGCAGCCCGAACGAGAACAGCCTTCCTGACACGTCCGTGTCGTAGGCCACCTCGGCGGGGGGCCTCCCGTCGCCGATGTCCTTGAGCATGCCGCGGAGCGCCGCCACGAACAGCTCTCGCTTCTCATGCAGCGACATCTCGAACAGGGGCTGCGACAGCTGCATGGGCTGATAGACGCTCCTGGTCAGCACGTCTGGGTACCTGCCCGCGGCCACGACATCGAACCGAATGCCTCCCTCTGGGGCGCGCCCTGTCCAGAACTTCTGGGCCGATCCAGCCGCGGCGACGAGGGCCCCCGAGGATGCCCCGAAGAAGGCGCAGAAGCTCCCCCGACAAAGTTCTCGTGCCCCTCCTCCTCCCAGAATCCGAGGCTGCGGGCGGCTCTCCCGCAAGGAGGTGGCGCAGGCGCCTTCGGTTGCGCTGGGGGAGGTCTCCTTCTGATGATGGATCGATCCCGTCGGCGATCCTCGCAAGAGGAGGTGAGGGTCCCTACCTGATCGAGTTACTTTCGGGCCATAATACGGGCCTCCGGTGGCCGTTCGGGACGATTCGGGACACCACGGAACGCTCTCGGCGAGGCACGGCTGCAGGCAACATCTCGAGGCTGGAATATCTCTGGGAACCAACGAGAGCGCCACACAATATCGAAAACATGCTTTCCCTCCTCCTCCCCCTCCTCCTCTCCTCCTCCCCCTCCTCCTCCTCCTCCTCCTCCTCCTCCTCCTCCTCCTCCTCCTCCTCCTCCTCCTCCTCCTCCTCCTCCTCCTCCTCCTCCTCCTCTTCCTCCTCCTCCTCCACTCCTCCTCCTCCTCCTCCTCCTCCTCCTCCTCCAAGAGGGGCACTTATTGGACATCGCCTCGAAGAGCTGCCTTTGGTTTAGCAACGCCAGCGCCTGATCGCACGCTCTTCTCCTGGGCGCCATCTCTCCGAACCGCGCGAGGCAGCAGCGGGGGCTTGAACAAAAAAAAGACTACGGGAGGCAGAAGAGGACAAAGGGGATGACATGGACGAGGCGGAGGAGGAGGGCGAGCAGGGAGGAGTAGACAGGGCAAGGCAAGGACTGCGTCGGACCACGGGGCAAAGTTACACTTGGCACCTACACACATCGAAGTACTACGATGTGTACGACCTGCAACTCGCACTAACTATGGAAGACTATCAATACACCTGCGGAGGCAGCCCCGATTGTTTTCGCTCGACCTCGGGTGACCAGAGACGACGAGCCCCCGGAAACTAAACCTGATCTAGCAGTCCTAGTATGCTAAACTCTGCTGCGGCACGATCGCTATGACACTGCGGCTGCTGACGCGGGCTGACATGCGGGAGAAAGGTGTTTCGAGCTTTCGAGGGAGACGACGGCGGGTGTCGAGACGACGACGTGAGAAGAAGACCTAAAAGGGGAGTGGGGGATCGGCTAGACAGAGGGGGCGGAGAATGCACAGACAGGCAACGCCAACCATTTAAGGCAACGAGTTTCGAAGCGGACGACGGGGGTCCGTGAGACGACGACGCTTGGAAGGAGAGAGGCGAACGGAAAGTGGAGGACCTGTCAGGCTGGAGGCCGGAAAAGGGAGGAAGGCGCTCATTCAGACCACGAGAAACTGTCCTGTCTCGCGATCCTCTGTCCTGACCGTCGCTCGCGCCCTCGCACGTGCTGAAAAGGCGACTGTTCTGCGGAACATCCTGGAAGCCTCGCGCGGCAACTCGAGACCAGACTTATATCGGATCCACGTCAGACTTGCGTCGGGTTCACGTCGGGTTCACGTCGGATTGGCGACGAATTCGAGTCGCGTTGACGTCGGAACACCGCCGCGCGAGCGTCGACCTGTATCTTACGGAACGGACATGTGTGGACTAGATGATATAGCGATTGCACACCGCTCGAGGCCTCCAAGTTCCTCGGAAAAACTGCACTCCGCGAAGATGACGAGCTGCCGAGCGGAGACGAGCAATTCCACGTCCCCGAGAAGGCTTAGCACCACGAGAGCCAGCTGTCGCCGACTCGTATGCCGCCCTGTCTTTCATAGAAGAGTGAGCAACCCGATAGCGTCCGCGCATTGATGAGGAATTCCTGCATTTGCCAAAGAAAAATCAACTCCATGCGAATCTGCACTGGCAAGAGATAGACCGGACAGAGGTCGAGCTTTCACATCGAGCTCTCGCAGAGCCGTGTGGCACACGCTGGCGGGGTCCATGATGAGCTCGAGAGTCGTTTGCTGGGGTGGGTCGGTATTATGCAACTCTCGGAATCTCGCCGTCCCCGTCGCGTAGGCCTTCCCCGTCGTGAAGCCCGCTGCCGCTATGTAAGGGTCGTCGTGCAGGAGCAGCGTGAAGTAGTTCGTCGCGCAGAGCTGCCTGATGCACAAGCTGTTGCCGAGCATCGCGTGGCTGGAGCGAGAAGGGCGAGGAGGAGGAGGAGGAGGAGTAAAGCGACGAGAACGAGAACCAGCAACACGACAGAGAAGAGACCGATTGAAGACGAGGACTGTGGCGGCGACGACTGCAAAGGCGACGGCGACGGCCACGGCAAACACAGTGGGCGAGACGGCGGCGGCGGCGTTGCTGGCGACGCCTCCAGCTCCCGCCGCGCCTCCGTGGAGCTGCAAGCGGGCGCCAGGTAGTGCCGAGAACTGTGGCCCGCAGTCGTCGTTGTCGCCGCCACCGCCGTCGTCACCGCTCGGCGCCGTTTCCGTCGAGGCGCGCTCTGGCTCCTGCTCCTGCTTCCCCTCTAGGGGCGCGCTCCTCCTCCTCGAGGAGAGATGGCGCCGACGCCGACGACGACGCCCACGGTCGTCGTTGGTTGCCACTGTCATCGTCGTCGTCGTCGCCGCCGCAGCCGCCGCCGCCGACGCTGCCGACGCCGTCGTCGTCGTCGTCGTCGTCGTCGTCGTCGTCGTCGTCGTCGTCGTCGTCGACGGCGTCGGCGTCGGCGTCGTCGTCGTCGTCGTCGGCGGCGGTGGCGTCGTCTACGTCGTCGTCGTCGGCGTCGTCGTCATCGTCTTCGTTTGCCGTCGCCGTCGTCGTCCACCAGGCGGGCATTTGTTTCCCTCTCTGGGCCTCGCCCTCGTGCCCACAGTATGATTCGCCTCGACATTCTGGCCAAAGCGCGCCCCAGGACAAGTAGTGGGGGCGTCATTGTCGTCGTCGTCGTCGTGGTCGTCGTCGCCGTCGTCGTCGTAATCATCGTCAGTCGGATTTTTCGTCTCCGCCGCCGCCACCGCAGCCGCCGCCGTCGTCGACTACGCCGCCGAGGCCGTTTGTCGTTGTTCGCAGGGAGGGAGAACGGCCGGTAGGGGAGAGGAGGATAGGGGGGAGGAGGGGGAGGAGGAAGAGGAGGAGGATGAAAAGGAGGATGCGGGCGAAGGGGATGAGGGGACGAGGGGGAGAAGGAGAACGAAGCGGAATACAAGTTCGAAATTGTGTTCGTTGGATGGCGTTGCGACTGCACGTGCTTGTTGCAATCGTAGTCCCACCAGCCCTTTAGGGCGTAGGTGGTCTAGAGCGTTTCCTCTGCCAACCCCCCTTCTTTCCCTTCGGGGAGGGGTTTACCCCTCCCCTTACCCCTCCCCACTGACCTGGACGGGGCGTTCCGCGACGCGTTGGGACGCCCAAGATGGCCCAAGACTGCTCCAAGAGCGAAAAGGCGAGAAAGCACAAAACATTGATTTTCCTTAGGTTTTGGAAGGATTTTGGCCTCTTGGGGGGGCCCAAGAGGCGATCCGAGGCACTCTAGAGGGGCGAGGCTAATTGAGGCTCCCCCCTTCTTTGATATATATTCCCAACATGGCCCCAAGAGCGCCCCGAAGGCTCCCAAGAGCGCCCCAAGAGCGCCCCAAGAGCGCCCCAAGAGGGCCCCAAGAGGCGCCCAAGATGCCTCCAAGAGGCTCCCAAGAGACTCCCAAGAGGCCCCAAGAGAATCCAATATGGCCCAAGACGGCTCCAAGAGCGAAAAGGCGAGAAAGCAAAAAACAATGATTTTCTGTAGGTTTTGGACGGGTTTTGGCTTCTTGGGGGGGGGCCCAAGAGGCGACTCGAGGCACTCTAGAGGGGCGGGGCTAATTAAAGCTCCACCCTTCTTTGATAGATCTCCTCCAAGATGGCGCCATGAGCACCCCGAAGGCACCCAAGAGCGCCCCAAGAGCGCCCCAAGAGAACCCCAAGAGGCTCCAAGAGACGCCAA